ATGACAGGGAGACCATTGATCAAGATCCTCCTACTGTATGTAATAATTATACTTCTATATAGTTCTTCTAATGTCACAGCATCTCAAAGTTACAGTAACAGTAAGAAATCAGCAGTAAAGGATGTGTAGCATTTGAGCAGGGTCATATTTGCATCGCAAGGGTCAAGACTTCATGTCCTCCAATCCCTTAAACATTCTTATCCACCGTCAGAAATCGAACTCTTCTGCACATGAAGGTGAACTTAAGATTGAAGGTGAGCTATTTACAGCTACATATACATTTCACAGACATCTGGAAAAATCAAACTTTTGCAAAAGGAAACTTTCAGTAGCTGAAAACCGTACAGAGGGAAAAGCTACTTATTATTATTATTTTCAAAATATTTTCTAAAGTGTAAGACGAGTCACTCCAAGTGCACCCAGCCCAATCAGAAGTCAGACCATCAGTGCACTTTGTGCTGAACATGCTGAACTCTGAATTCCATTGTAAAATGTATGCTGCTACATGGAAAGTTGTTTACATATCTATGTGATGATGTTTGTCTGTCCCATTTAAATTTGTACTGTATACAGTATGTTGTTTGCATGTCTCATCAGTGTTCTTGGTATACTGATAGCAAATTCCACCAACTATTGTTGTGAGTCAATAAAAAATAATCTAATCGAATGTAATATTACTATAACATTGTACAGCAATTACCCCTCCACACCCTGTGCAACTGCAGCAGGTTAAGTTCCAGTTCTATAGGGCTGTCTCTGGTGAACAGGTGCCTCTCTGTCACCACTCAAACTGCAGCAAAGAGCGTCTCTTCAGAGAGTCCCTGTGAAGACAGGCACACAGCTGGTTCAATTAGAAGAACTTTATTCTTACAAGTGAACCCATTCCACAACCTTTTTTTCAGATGAAAACAAGGAGGAACACAATGATCCATATCATATGCTCATACATCTACCTTTAATTTCTTTTCTTTTTTTCCAAAGCATGAAGAGGTGAAAATGTTGAGTTGCTCCTGTATGCTTCCAAAGTCCCTGGTGGGCCTGTATTTTTAAGGTTTCAGAGGCACTTCCCTTTAAAGGAATATCTGCTTGCTGTGCCACTCGTGACCAAATTCAGCCTTTCATGCTACCCTTACTGTCAGGGCTCATCTATAGCAGCTGTGTTTCTGAGGTGTCCGATGCCCATGTGCTCTACCATTCGTGGTCAATACAGCAAGGACGCCTGAACAGCTCTGCAGAGTGCGGGGTTCTGCGTCCTGCTCAATTATGCTTCAAAAGTCTTTATTTTTACGTGCCTAGTGTATGTACATTACACAAAGGAGTACAATGCATACTACTAAAGGAATGTAGTGATCATATCCCAACAGCTCACTGCAAAGAGCTGTTTTATTAAGTTTGCACCCAATTAATTTGATATATATACCCATACAGACTGGAAGCACTAGTTGTGTGTATGGAAGTGGCAGCTCACAGTTAGTAACCCCGCAATCGCACACGGGGGAGAAAGAGAAAGGACCCGCCCACCTCTAAGCCACTCATCTTTTAACAGTGCACAGGCTATGCAGTACAGGGGCACTGTGTTGCTGGGAATAGACAGATCCCTGGCTGACTAATCCCAACCCTCCTCTTGGTAGTGAATGCTGCCACTTGGGGAATCCTGGCCACACTTAATTGGTGACATGCTCCAAGCTCAGACCCACAGCGCCTGGACCCCCAGAACTCAACCTGCACTCAGGCTCAGAACACTTTTTCTTTTTGAGCATTGTTCAAGTGAAACAATCATTCTCATTGAGTTGTCCACTACATCATCATCATAAGAGGTTGAGCAAACTACAGATCATTAAAAATATTAGCACTAACGGCAAAATGACCAAAGATGATGCTCACTTACGTGTGAAAAGGTCTATTATGAGCATATGCATGCTCATAATCATATAGAAGCGAAAAAAAGGCTGACACAGTAACAGAAAAACGCAGCTGTGGGATAATACCAGCTCCTCCCTGTTTCCATCATAGATGCGTTTTCCAAATTAATCAGTGAAAAAGGTTTTAAGTAATTACACGCAGTTAAGCTATGGTGACAAATCATCTGGGGAAATGATTGTTTGAGCAAAGGAGAGACGCTAAGCTGCACTTAAAATATCCCCACATGCTGTGTGAAGAGCAAACCACAAATATCAGATGCAGAGCTGGGAACTATAGCCCTGGGAACTCTTTGACACTTGCAGGTGTTAAATTATACACCCCCACTTGAATCTAAAGAAATCAGCACACGCTGAAGAATGCTGGATGACAGTTAAAGAGAACCGTATTGTGTTTTGAGCACCACTCAAGTCTTCTACAAGATAGTCTGGCTTTATCTTTCTATATTTTTCTTTCAGCCTAACTGTCAATTGACTTTGTAAATCTGCACAAACAAAATCCCAACAACATTCATGTTAAGTATGATGATACAAAGGATTTTCAACAATGCATTAAAATGGCAGAGTAAGAAACTGAACCCACTGGTAGGTCTCCTACTTTTTGAATTCAATAGTGAATGTATTAGAATGTAGCAGAATTGTAATATCAGGTTGCCCCATTAAATTGCCCCACTGTATAAATGCAAACATGTCAGTTTGGAGAAAAGTGTCAGCCAAGCCAGTTAAGCTTTAAAACGGTTTAATGGCTATATTATTGTGATATTGACCTGTAAATATACTGTAAAAAACATTTATGATTTAGTTTATCAGCATACTTAATCAGGCCATTTAATTCAGGCTAAACTATACCGCACCTTTTCTGGATATATTGTATTTTTGTCCAACAACTTTAATTGTAACAACCACGCTTGTCCCAGAAACACCAATGCTCTTGATTCAACTTCAGATCCCACTTCAGGTGGAAAATGTACGACTCAAATTGTACACCCAATAAATGACAGTATATCTTGGTTGGAAAAAAAATAAAAAAATTGAATCACTTTAGGAATAGAAACAATTATAGTATTGTTTTTTGCTTTTGTGGTACAGCCATTTCTTCCCTTTCTTTTCACTACTGAGTTTGAAGAGTGAGGTGAAATGCAATGTTCCTGTAGCAGGGCTGTCATCTTCTAGACCGATCTTGCCAGATCTCAAGAGATGAGAAAGGCTGTGCCTTGCCAGTACTGGGCTGGGAGATATCTAAAAAAAAAAACAGATGTTTCAAATAATCGTGTTTCTGTCCAATAACGTTTAGCCTAGGTGACAGCTTGTGCAACGTTTGGAACGTTCCCAAGGATGTTAAAAGTGCAGAACTTGACAATGAAAAGCAGTGACATTCATTTGCATTTTGGACTACAGGGAGAAAATAAATGTGTGAAAAAAACAAGCAATATTTGCAATCACCTGTAGAGTCCTTTTCTTTATAACACATATGATGAACAAATATGACGATCAGTTTGTTCAGTTTTAAGTCTTTAGATTTTTTCATTTTTTTTGTGAAATCTCAAGCTTAACCATGTAGAGGGCTATTTCAAATGTGCAATTTTAGTGCAAATGTTCCCATCGAGGCATGCACCTCCGTAGGGCAGAAGGACTAATAGGACAGGAACTGTAAGCAGGCTTGGCAAACACAGAACACAAGTAGTAGCTGGAAGGGAGACAGGCTACAACATGCAACTGGGCCACCTGAAAACCTAATATACAAAGGCTACTTTTTAAAATGCCCTTTTCAGTTCACAGTTTATACAATGCATGATTTGAACTAATTTCTCCATTGATTGTTTACGGGACCAGATGAGTAAACTTCAGCTACCACTCTGTCTGTCGGCTTGCTAAACTGAACTCTTCTGGGTGTGTAAGTCATCGATAGGTTTATCTACTCATGCAGAGACAAATACATTTAAAATTCAACCAAAAAGAAACTATAAAAAAACCAAATGCAAGTTGGCCGACATTTAACTTCTCCCTTTATTTCCCAGAATGATATGACCACCCATGCAAACCAAGGCGTGGCATTTCAGACATTTCGGTTCAACTCAATAAAAGCCTTATTTTTCCACAAGAAACTTTACAGATGACAGATTTTGGCCCAATACTGCAAGAAGAATAAATATTAAACTACATACTGTATTAAAGACTAAGTCCACCTGTCCAGTGAGGTAACTGATGTACTTCCCAGGTTGTGTTTCAGATATGTCTGTATCACAACCTGGAATACTGCTGTTTAAGCTGCAGTTCAGCAAATTTGTGAAAAAAGCTTATCAAAGTACCTAGAAACAAGTTATCCACAGGATTCCTTAATTTTACTTTACTTCACTTTCTGCTCTAGGTTCTTGTTTTGTCCATTTTTAACTGGATGACAGAAACTCAAGTCTCTGGCCATTGATTCACAATGAACCGTAAATCAGAGTGTACACCACTAAACCAAATATCTGCTCAAAATCTGATCCTCTCAGGTACAGATCTGTGATTTAAGCCAAGAATATTTTTTTTTTATGTGCAGCCTATGTTAGAAAGCCTTAGTTGCACAGTAACACAAATAGAAATACAATTCACTGACCTTCTGTGAACAGATAAAAAGCTCTTGAGGAGTTCTGGCTTTGACAAAGAAAGTTTGCAGCACATGGTACAAAAAAACATGGTCAGACCATGTTAATCACTTGTCTGGAAAGTTAGAGGTGTGGGTCATTTTCATTTCCATATACTCAGATGAACATCTCTGTCCCTGTCAGGGGGCTGTCAGTTTAGGTAGTGCTCCTATGCAAAATAAATGTTTACAGTTGGAAATGTTCTCTTAAAACCTGAAATGCAGAAATTATACTCACAGCTCTTAGACATTTTTTTTAGAGCAACTGAATGGACCGATTAAGACAATTCTGTTTTGACATGTTTACTGACGTTATAAGCCGAGAACTGCAAAAGTGGTAAAGATTAAAGTTCTGGCTTGCTACAGTAAAACCTTGTAAAATTAAGAACTTATAGAAATTTTGTGGTGTAACCTTAGAGAACCTTCAAAAATGTAAAAATAACAAAGATCGGAAAAACATGAACAAATCACTTTAATATTAGAGTTTTAATATTGGCATATTGAAAGATGACTATGATATCTGTATTTTATGGAGATATAGACTAAGAATGTAGTTACAATGTAGGTTTATTTTTTTGAGGTCACTGACAACAGCATGATTCCAAGTCAAGATCTGTTTGCCATAAGGTCATTTTCTCCTTTTTTTATCAAACTGTGTCATTGTAAAGGGTGTAACCATACATCCGAACAGATTCTTACAGACGAAGAGAACAATTAAGTGGTCTGACACAAAAAACTGTCCCTGAATCACACCTCTTATATTACGTCCTCTGCAAAACACAAGAACAAGCACATTTCATGGGCACCACTTTCCCCTCACCAGTGAACGTACCCCAGACAGCACTGCGTTAGTTAGTATTGTTATACACAACAGCACAACAAGAGGTTCATTTGTTTTCTTGAATAAGCCACTCACTGGAAGAGGCTGAACAGGATGTATGTTTGAACACTTTCTTCTTCTAAAATACTGTTCAGTTTCCAGAAATAATAACAGTACAAAAGAAATCAGAATACAAAACCCCCTTTTAATACCAAGAAGGGGAGTGTCAGTCCCCTGAAAGCAGATACAGTGTGCTGTCCATCTGTTGTCCTTTTTGTGCAGATCAGGGTCTGTATTGCCCAAACTGTCCCATGGTAGGATTCATGCCGTATCTGTTGGGGGCACCAGTAAAGCCAGTTCTGAGCCCCTGTCCTGATCCCACTCCAGGCCCCATCGCCATCCCCAATCCCAGTCCGCTCCCCGCCCTTCCCAAGCCATGGCTGAAGGCGCTATTGTAGGGCGCTGGCCCATAGCCAAGGCCCATGGCGTAAGGCCGACTGTTCTGGGAGCTGGCCAGGAGCACCGGGTTGATGTTCCTTCCCGGCGTGTTGAAGGAGAACTCGGGGGGCGGGCTGCTGGGCTTGGCGGGGGTGGAGGTGAGGGGCTCCGGCTCCCCGCCAGGCCGGGCCGGCGGCAGTGGGGGCAGGCTGCCGTACTCGGAGGGGTGCAGTACGCCCGCGGGCAGGGCTCCCGTCATCAGGGAAGGCCTGATCCAGTCATCCTTGAAGATCTGCACCGTCAGCGTGGAGACCAGGGTGGAGAGGCGGGTGGTCACGTGGGCGAGAACCAGCTGCTCGTTGGCGTCTCGGCGGATCCGGACGTGCACCGAGCCAGCCTGGGAACACAGGCGGGTTGAAGGATGTGAGCCACAGCGGCAAAGAATAGACAAGAGAGGCAAGAAAGCACTGAAGGAATATAAAGATCCCCCAGTGAATCTGTCTTTTGTCATCTGTCATTATATTTCCTTTTCAATGTGTTGGTGTTTCGATCCGCTACATTCTAGTCTAAGAGAAAACAGGGTATTATAGTCTGGAAGCAAATGAGGTCATGGGGTACATATGAGACCCAGATTTTGATGAACACCAAGCAGAACTAAACCTCATCCCTACTGCATTATGTCAATCAGCTCCTGAGCAGTCTGCTCAGTCCCATTGGCTGAAAGAGCCAAGCGATATGGAAACTATCCATTAAATTAAAGTGATAAATAACACGAAACCATAATAAATGAATGAAGTGCTAGACATAAGTAGCCCTCAAACACTACCTGATATTTTCACTATAGCGTTAGCGCATAATGTGGTAACAGAACAGTGAGCCGTCAGGGATATAGCTGTGCCCATCATGACCGGCTGTGGGAAAACTTCAAATGAATACAGAGAGTGTTTTCCAGATAAAAGTCAGAAGACTTCTGGGCTGAGGCACATTTATCAGAAATCCCACAGCACATCAAAGGCAATTAAAAGCTCTACCCTTTTAACAAAGCAGGGTTAAAAAACCCATTCAGCTTTAAAGGCGTTCATTTTGAAGTAAATGTTGTAGATTTCCTTCAGCCCTGAAACAAGAGACTTCAGCTCCCTCCCCAGAGCAAACTTCAGATCACCCCTGGCACAGAAGCAAAGGTTCTTGGATGAGGACAATTGTTCTTACTTAGCAGGCCTTGAAAGAAACCCTCTATCTAACAGAGACAACAGCTGAGCTGCTCTCCCCTGGAAAAATACACTACATGTATATTTGCTTGCTGATATTTCTGCAAAGTAATTCAGAGCAGCTCCTCAGCCAACAAAATGCTTTATGTGACCATTTTTGTATTAAAAGAAAATTTCCATCCCATTAGCAGATTCAATTGAGAACCCTGAGATCAGATGATCTGATTTCTGAGTGTAGTAAGTATTAAAAGCAACAAAAATTATTTGTTAAGTTTAATGTTTTTTTGCACTGCATCAGAGCCCAGTGGTCTTACAAAAGTTATCAAACACAGTTGCCAGTTGTGGTTATGTTTTAAGAAAGCAGGGAAATGCAAAGGCACTTTATAATAACAATGTGACATAGCACAGCATAGATGTAATGTACTATGCTCCTGGACATTATCAGCTTGAATGTGGAAGCACAACTTAGAAGAAATTTAGACAGGGAATACAGCCAGCTGTTAACTGGCTGGTAAAAATAACAATAGTTCAGTGGTCACAGTGCTGTACAGCCAGCAGAGGTTCCTGGATATCAAGGCACAAAAATAATAAAAACCAATCCAATCCAATGTGCCATATCAGCCACACAAATACTGTACTTCAAATTTGCTTCTTGCATTTCCAATGTTTTTCGTTTGCCTCAACGAGAAAAAACCCAACCCAACGCACCCAGAAGCCAACTCTGGAGAATTGGACCTACCAGAGACCCGAAACCGACTGTCCAAAAGTGCTCATTCCGAACCTCCAAAACACCATCAAGAGTTGACACCTGCAATGCAAGTAAATATAAAAACTGAATTGACTTCCCTTGCATCAACAGTCCATACCATCATATGAATTTACTGAAGGTCTTTGCTACAACCTGCTTGATAATGACATAATCCCATAAATTATCAACAGATTGCTGACAAGCTGCAGACTTGTGCTGTACTCCTGCAAAGGAACAGACCTCACACAATTACATCTGCCTCCAGATCCCGGGTACTAAAACCTCAGATAAAAAAAAGACAAAAACTCAGATCCGACTTCTATTTACTGGAATGATCTTCATGTATGCCACAGGCGTGATGTATTTTGAAAAAAATGTTCCATAGAAAAACATAGATAGACCCACTAAAGTCAGCATTAGTAGTAAAACTTTTGCATAAATGCCATCTTGAGCACTTTGTATTTTAAAAAGCATAACTCTCTCTGACGAGCCTCACGGTCCCCATGTCTAAATGGCGTGAAAAGTAGTCTCTTAGACAATAATAATTACAATAATAAAGCTCTGAGATGCATAACCGTATTTATTCCATTTTTCCAATGTGCTGTATTATTTCATTTACTTTGGTTGCCCATATTGCATCTTAATTTGTATTTCTGCTTCACTGCCAGACACATTACATTTATGCTATCAGGGATTTTTGAGCTATTTTCTGACTGCTGCACTCCAAAATGCATGAAGTTCATAAAGATCCATTACATATATCTCATACATGTTAAGTGTAAGTCACCTTGCACAAATGATTAAGTTGAATGTACAAACAATAATTAACAATATTAAGACACTCCTTACATGACTGAGTTATTGACCTCGGCTATCTCTGATGTCGATTTTGATCATTAAACAGACGTGTAGCATTTTAGGGTTTCCATAATTTCCCGGTTAATTCACCTACCTCCCTCAGTAATTTATCCAGCTGTCCAATGACATGTGAAGGTGTTGTCTAAAATGAAACACAGCAGGATGTGAGCACACTCTGCACAGTTACTTAAGAGAGATTACACACATGAAGCTGGTTTCAAACCTGTCCTGAACTACTAAGGTCATGATATTATTGGAGAAGCTGACCTTTACATTGGGAACTGCTTTAAATGCCACAGATATGATGTATGCAATTACATAAGACATAGCATCTAGCATGTTCTTCTGCAAACACTGGAGGTTTTAAAGAAATACATCTTCAAATAATAATGACAATAATATTACTAAAGCTGCATGTCATCTGATTTGTAACCTGTGGTAGAAACTCAGTGAGTGGAATGATGATTTACAATAGTTTAGATCAATCAATCATTAGTTTCTTTATATATTTATGTTTATTGGCAGGGAGATGAAACTCTATTTTCTACAAGACAAATCAAGTCTGGAATGTGTCACAGGTTGTACCTGCAGACAAATGTTGCTCAAAAAGTCATCAAAGGGGAACTGCAGTCCCAATTTCTCAGACTGGTTAATATTGAAAAATCAAGAGCCTTTCCTGCTGTCTAAATATTCTTACCTGGAGGAGCACCTTTCCACTGTAGACACTCATGGGGTACATGGTACCGAATGTCATTAAAGCAATGGCGACTGCCGTAGCCGTGTCCACAGCGTAGTAATTACTGCAACCAAAACAGTGGGGAGAAAGATAATTACAAGCCCTGTTACCAAAAAAACAGGATCCTATCAAGTTCTTCTGTTTTGCATGGTTTATGTGAATGCAGTGTGCCTTCTTTCGCGTCCTCGAAATTTACAATATGCCCTTACAACCAATCAGCAACTTCAACACAAAAGCACTGTTTGTAATTGTGTAGTAAAAAATATTTAAACTTCCCTGTGGCAAGCCCTTTTTTACAGGCTCAACATCCTGCTTCATTCACAAATTTGTGTGCTGCTAATAAACTATTCTAATCTCGCTTGGCTGCTGACTTAAAGCAGCCTACAGTGCAAATCTACATGGATTTTCTTGATCTAAAAAGTACACAGTGTGGTTTAAACTATGATACTGGACTGACCAAGTTTCTCTGAATGTATCTTGCTTACGGAGTTTTGTAGTAGTATTAGATACAGTTCATTGCTGGGAGCTATGTAGTGTTTTCAGATATCCCAAGTTAATAATAACATTACATAAGAAATATTCATTGTTTACACCTTGATTTTCCTGTGAAATCTGCTGTGAAGTCAACTAATGACTGGTCCTTGTTAAAGTTTTAGAATTATACATTGTGTAATTGTTTTTGGTCCTTGTGAAAATTAAAAACAATATATTGACTACCCTTGAGATAACTTGAAGTTATATAAATTATACTCAGGCATTGGTAGACCTGAAGAAAGTCAAAATGTGACTAAACACTTGCATGTTCTGCATGTCTTTACAATTTTAACATTTTCAGGTTTGGTTTCTTTTCTTCCTCTTTTGTAACAGAATGTGAGTTATTATTCCATTGGCAATTGCGCTACAAACAAAACATGAAACATGAAATTCATTCTAAATCATTGTGGACAGAATTCACAGTTACAACATATAAATATAATGCTATCCCCACAAAGGAACATCCATTTTAAGAATATTACCAAAACTGGTAAGAAAGCCTTAAATGTTTACGATATATACTGTAGTACTGTAAAGTGATTCAGCTAACAATACCTTAGCAGTGTTCCTGTGTAGGAATGACTTCCTCAGATCTATGTATAAATGTCTATAAATAAGCTGAATGTGGATATAAAATTATTGGTAATCAGATTTTTAATGTGTAACAAGCTTTAGATATTTATTTACAAAGTACTGGTTAGGATTAAACAAAGAGGACTTCTGAATCCACTTTGAAAATAATGAATAACGAAAAAAATAGGATCGACTAGAGCTAAAATCCTGTAAAAAGCTCTGTTCGTAATGTGGTGTTTTTGTCCAGTGATTCAGATTACTGGCTTAAGAAAGTGCTTGAGCTGTTCAGTATCCTGAACTTACACCCACTTCTTAGGAAGACTGGAAGTTGAACTAGAAGGAGCTTTAAAAATCTTTTACTCACAAACGTATGCAGTGTTACTAGACATTTACAACAAACAGACATTTCAATAAGGCAACTCAAAACGTCCTTTACGTTCGTTGCTGAATGCCTTCTTCATTTTTGTTCTGTGATCTGTTGCTTATAAGCAGCTCCAAGCACATCACATTAAATGCTACACAGACGTTCCAATACCATACATATTCAAATAAAGGATATCTAATAATACACATTCCACTTGGGTTTGATTTTTAAACAAATATTCAGAAGGCAAATGAGAAAACTAAAGCAAGGTTCTAGTAAATAACACAAAAATATACCAATACCACTGGAACATGGACCTGACTACATTTGGATTTCATCTTCAAAATGTTCTGATCTCAAATCACAATAATAAAATCCACAAATTACTATAAGCTTACTATAAGATTTTTTGATATAAGGAATCTTACTGGGATCTAGTAAGCAGCTGCGTCAGCATGCGTAGATTGCAAAGGAACAAGTAAAGGTTTATTCCAGGCTGAAAGGAAAAGAGACCACGTTTGGCTGTGGAGCCTTCTTCAGGTGTGTCCTTCAGGTGTGAAGAAGGCTCCAGAGCCGAAACATTGTGTCTCTGTTTTTTATCATGGAATAAACCTTTACTTGTTCTATCCTCCTTTAGTATAGACTGTTTTTTTGGAGATATTTCTCCAATAGCCTTGGGGACCATGTCCCTAACAGGAGATGCTGCAGTCCCTGGATAACTCTTATTTGTTTTCTGTATTTCTTGTGATGTGAAGCAGAAACATTTTCAGCACCGGCAGCCCTGACAAGGAAAAGAGTAAATAAGTCACTCACTTGATCTCGATGAGCATATAGGTAATACAGAGAGCCAAGGCCCCCGCCAGGTCTATCAGCACGAAAGGGTTCATCCGTGGAAGAAGCACGCTGCTCAGCCCAGGGATAATCCCACACAAACTGAAGGGAAATCCAAAGTATAAGACGGCTTCAAGACAGTACAGTTTGGTAACATTAAATCTGTATCACCTACTGTAGATTGAGTGGGGTTACAGGAAAATAACAAAAATCACGATGACACAAAAATACATGTGTATGGTCATCCCATGACATATTGCAATATGTATCAACATACAGTATATAACTATTCATTGTCTGATCTGTCTGCTATCCTTATTAGACTCTGTCTCCCCCTTGCTATAAAAAGAGAATAGGTTCTTCAGAGTTCTACTGTATAATTTACATCTGACTACAAACTGAAAACAATAATTTCAAACACCTGATGCTTCTCCCTCCAATACAGAAAAAACGCTGTTATAACAATATTTTCACAGCCCTGCTACACTATCACCTTCACATTCTTTCTGAAGGACAATTGTCTACAGAGAAACCACGTTTAGCACTAATATCTCGAGCACCAAGCTAAGCTTTGCTTCTTGTTTCCTCCCTCAGTTCCAACAAGCATGAGGCGTAATGCTTATTCATGCAGACACGCTCTGTTTAGACAGTTAAGAATAAGTAACTCACTTGTCAGGATAGGCTTTCATAAAAAATGAAAGGCTTTATTTCTGCTGTGACTACTGAGGAGAACATTTTGTGTGTTTATTCAAGAGCTTCACTGGTGCTGCTGTCAATCTGAAGTTAAGATGCACAACAAATCCTTATCTAGTAATTCATATAAAATAAAGATATGCATGTACTCACATTTATATGTATAATAGATTTTAACTGCACAGAGAATTTATTTGGGAAAAAAAAGATCAGAACAATTATCATAGCAGGAAGCATTAAGTTTCATCTTCTTATTGTTGAATAGGATGGATTTCTTTGAAAGCAACATAGTGCAGATATTTCTTTGGATAATAAAAGATAAAATACAATCAAGAACATTTTCAATCTAAAATCAGACCAGGTACAGCAACTGTCTAAATGTATTAACAGACTATATTTATTATCTTAAAACAACTCAAGGTATAGGAGAGCCAAATACAGTTTAACCTGTATTTGGATATTAATAGTTTATTCTTATATTAATGGATTACTATCCAATTCAATAATAGTCTTTCAGTCCATTGATATAATTTAGACAAAGATGAATTCTAATTTAACCAGCAGTGTTTTTGTTTGCACAATCTGTATATTGTGCAGAAATGCAGTTACTTGAGGTCAAGCCATTTTATTTCTCTTAAGTACATTTGTGGATTGTTTTGAATGCAACAGAGACTGCGTTCTAATCTCTGTGGTCTAATACATAAAATGTAGGATTACACTGACAAAACCAAACACTGGATTTCCTGCCTAAAGCCTGTAGTATAGGGAAGAAACAATCTTTTCATCACTGGTGGGCATAAAAAATTAAACGTATAATGAAGTTAAATAAATGATGATGGCAGGTTTTATTGCTTCAAAACCATCCTGACTGGTTAAATGCTGAGTTAATAAAATTAATAAAAAGCCAGTTCAAGGAAACAATGAATTCCCTCGCAACAAATTCTATTCCAAACTTATTTGCGCCAAACTTAAAACAAGCCTCATCTAAAACCAGTATCCGTATCACCTGTAACCTTATGTTCTCCTCAACACCCATCAATTTTGGTGGAAAAAGTACAAATCTGACCCTGTTCTGGCACAAGGCTTCTCAATAACACATGGCAGCTGCTGTTAACGTAATAAAATTTGCAATGAAAATAAAAGAGGAAAGAAAGGAAAATACAAAACTCTTCATTATTACATTTTATCTAATTCCCACTCTAATTTGAATCCAGTATTCCTCTATTCAGCCACTACAAATCACAACAGATCCCAACATGTCACTGACGTATATTTCAACTAGGTATTTTGTAATAAAACAGTTTGTATACTATGTACAAAATACTGAATTACTTATTACTTATGTAGCTCACTGTGAAATTCAAATTTCAATAGTCAACATCAAAGTGACAAATACAATTTGCATTTTGTGAGCCCTAACACATATTAGAGTGGGAGACATAAAAAACAGAGACTAAATTACAAATATCTACCTGTGGAAAACTGTGACAAGATTGTGTCCTCACGCATACTACAGCATGACTAATGTTGGCTCTGGTCCTTCCAAGGCAATGCATTATACATGTACATCACTGAAAAGTGAAACAGAAAACTACCATTTTCCAGAAACCCTGAGATAATCTTGTGATCTCAAGACGACAGCTTTGTTTTCCTCAGCAGAGTAACAGATGATCCCGAGCTAAGGAGTAAAAAAAAGAACCGCAGGATGGCCCCAACCAGGCGCTGCAGTGACGCGCCCAAACTCACCGCACTGGATTTGTTAACGAGGGCATCATTTAAAAATACACCTTCTCATGTGAAGCTGGCAGTTTGAAAGTTACGGGCAGCTCTGGGAATAATCCATCCATCCACGGAGGGCTATAGGGAGCCAGTGCCCCAAAGGGCACTCTCTTGCACAAGCAGACTAAGGTCAATTGGGGCAGAGCGGTGGCTCTGTGGCTAAGGATCTGCGCCTGTGACTGGAAGGTTGCCGGTTCAAATCCCGCAGCCGGCAGAGGGATTCTTCTTCGTTGGGCCCCTGAGTGAGGCCCTTAACCTCAACTGCTCCAGGGGCGCTATACAATGGCAGACCCTGCACTCTAACCCCAAGCTTCTCCCTGTCTGTGTGTTTGTGTCTCCATGGAGAAAAGCTGGGGTATGCGAAAAGACGAATTCCTAATGCAAGAAATTGTATAGGGCTAATAAACCAACATTATTATTATTATTATTATTATTATTATTATTATTAATTCAGACGGGCTCATTTCCCCAGACAGAAGCAAACCCAAGAAGCAGGAGGAGTGAGGGAACAGCTCTTCCAGTCACGCCACCATGCTGCCCACCCTGGGAATATTACTTTTTGGGATTTCACCTCACCTTTGTATTCCAAATCTAAGCTGGATGCAATTACACACCAATGCAGACCTCATCCAGACCTCACTGTAGCCAGTACACTGCAGGTAGGGGGTGAACCCGGGCACTTACAGGAAATGCCTGGGTCAAACCAGGGAACGACCTTCCCTTGCCTGCTGAGAAATTCTTCTATTTCTCATCCTTCTTCTTACATAACTTTACGAGCTAACATTATTGTGCCCCTTGGCAAATGCGATTGCTGTATACGTGCATGAGCGGCTGTTCTTTAGAAAGCACTACCCACTGTAAGAAAAAGCCATGTTTCTAGTCATTCTGAATTTTGCTCCAATTATTTTCCTTTACGTAATGAACTCCACTTGTCCTGGCAGTTTTTTTTTTCTTAATGTGCGATGATACAGAAGTCACGGTTAAGTGTGGTTTTGTCTAGTTAATTGCAATTTTTACAGTGATCCTGTCACAATACACTTTTCAACAAACTGGGAAGAGGGCAGAAGGCAGATAATTTGCACAGTGATCTTTCTATTCTCAGCTGGAGAAAAAAATAATTTAGGGAAACACTGAGTTTCAGGATGAGTGCACAGGAGCAGAGTGTCTTTATTTTGCAGAGCACTGAGAAGTGGGCAGAGAATTAAGTGAATCACCTGTCAATATTTTGGGACAGACTTCTATTCTGTTACATAACCCACACATTACTTTGGAACAAAGCAATATGCCTTTTGATTTCTAGTTTCCCTTCAATTATCAGCTGAGATGGACAGCTGGGACCACTTCTGCCTCTTGCTCATCTTTTCATTAACTCATTAAGGGTACAAAAAACAAGAAATGGCATTTCCATTTGATCAGGAAAACTATATAAGTTCGCTGTCGCTATAATATACCTGAACTTTAACAAATGCCACAATGATGCTGAGTAAAAGATTTTAAAAAACTACAGCAGGCTGTTGAAAAAATACACAAACTGACAGCATAGAAAACTCATTTCTACTCATCTACTGTACAATGACACCTTAAAACATTAAAATGCAAAAAATAACATCCACAGAAACTTAAAATCAGCTACAATATTACTGTAGTGATACGGGTACATCAATATACCACTTTGATCGCTGGTTACTCCTATCATTCACTATATGGCACCACTATACATTTCAGACTTCTTGTCAAACCAGAATTGTGATTGCAAGAAATCACAACAGTAAAAATACAAAAAGTTTCATATCTTTAGCTCATTCTGAGATGCTGGCTGGCCGGGAAGTGGCTTACACCACCACACAGTGAGTTTAAACACTCCAGTGGTCACTAGCGAGGAGGTTAGTAATCAAAAGTCAGGTCTTACCTGCGGCTCAGGTCCGCTACGTGCTCTTGAAGCCAGCTGGTGCTGGCAGCTGGTGAGGAACACAAACCAGAAGGATACAAGTTACACATCTGCATCGACAAACTACATCGGACCCCCCCCCCGAGCCGTATACATGCCTGCAATGGCTGCTATTCTTGCAGCTGTAACAGGAGATTGTGCCCTTTGACCATGCAAACAGCTCTTAACTGCAATCAACCATCAGTATAAGTTACATTACCAGCTTTTAGTAAAACTACTGCCAAGTGTTTAATGTAAAGAGTAAAGAAAATACCGTTTTCTTATTCAGTCAACCGCAGAGCTGGTGTTGAGCTGACAACATGTACTCTTTTATTATTATTTGCTACTCTGATATTATACTCTGTAAATATGTATGTAAAAGAGATATGAAGAGAAGAGAGATTAATAGTATTTGAGTTGTTAAAGTATGAAGGTGTGAATGGGGGGGGAAGGTCCTTTCTAGGAGCTTGGGTAACTAACTTGTCATTGGGGAAGAGCTCTGAATGATTCTCAAATCCAGAACAGGCTTTCTTTATCCTTCTCTTAATAAGTGGAATGTACTTCCCACCTGTTCGCCCTCAATCTCAGTACAGATTGAGACTGGTAGGCTCTACAATTACACTAAGCCAGCGAGCCCCTTTAAAAGGCATTAACTACAAGCCAGTCCATCTCAAGAAGGCCTATGAGGCACAAACGTGCCATCAGGTGGCCACTGCCCAACCCCTCACCAAATACACACGTGTAGTTTGGTTATTTTCTGACGAATTACTAATACAGCATGTCCCGGCTTTAACATTCCACAACACAGACTTTCAAACACTTGAACTCAAACACAAACAAAACCCACACACGACGAAATCAACTGAAATGTTTCTTCTCAGACAGTGGCCTCTTTGACAGATTGTTCCCATAGCAGCTAACTGCAAGGTTTAAATGGGAGAGAAGAACGTTTACTTTAAAGTAAACACAATGGAAAAGCTTTTGGACTAAGAGGCTGAACTGAGACTTGGTCTGTTTTTTGGATCCAATTTTTGGAGAACACCTGCCACAGAAAATTATTAATTGAAAAACTGACCACCTGCGGTATCATGTTCTCGACTCGTAGACAATTTGTTTTTCATATGATATCTAAAACAAATTAAAACCTGGAGACCTAGACTATGCATCTTCACAATATAAAATAAAATTCTAAAATTCACAATGCACAGCTGCAGATGACAATAGACATTTAGGATTTATATGTACTCTATGAAAAGAAATTATATCTTTCAATCTGTCACATGTGCATATCGTTATTAGCTGAATAACAATTATTAGAAAACTGAAAAATGTAAAACATCAGATTCTAAATGTGTGTATACAAAAGACAGGTTGTTCTTCAGGTTAAGGTGCTAACTGCCTCAGCCAAGGATATTTTCAATCTCACTCTAAAAACACCACCTACATTAGTGGTACTGTTTTAATAATAATAATAATAATAATTAAGAATTGCTTACACTTATATAGTGCTTTTCTGAACACTCCACTCAAAGCGCTTTACAGGTAATGGGGATCCCCTCCACCACCACCAATGTGCAGCCCCACCTGGATGATGCGACGGCAGCCATAGTGCGCCAGAACGCTCACCACACATCAGCTATCAGTGGGGAGGAGAGCAGAGTAATGTAGCCAACTCATAGATGGGGATTATTAGGAGGCCATGATTGGTAAGGGCCAATGGGAAATTTGGCCAGGACACCCCTACTCTTTTCGAGAAAAGCCCTGGGATTTTTAATGACCACAGAGAGTCAGGACCTCGGTTTTACGTCTCATCCGAAAGACGGCGCCTGTTTACAGTATAGTGTCCCTGTCACTATACTGGGGCATTAGGACCCACATGGACCGCAGGGTGAGCGCCCCCTGCTGGCCCCACTAACACCTCTTCCAGCAGAAGCCTTAGTTTTTCCCAGGAGGTCTCCATCCAGGTACTGACCAGGCTCACACCTGCTGAGCTTCAGTGGGTTACCATTTGTGAGTTGCAGAGTGATGTGGCTGTGAAAAATCAAGTCCTACACAAACCTTTAATTAAACCTTTAACAAAAACTCTGACTTGGGGTCATCTTTAAAACCTTCCTTCAACAAAACACATAGCAGGTTACCTGCAAATGATGGTACATAGCCCCCAAACAATTATGATGCTTTGTACATAGCTCTTTGATTTGGTGCTCAATAGCACAGGTTGGTTGATATTTTTTTCAGCATTTCCATCATGGCCTATGTACAAGAGATTGGGCCATCTATAATACTGCAACTTGGCTTTTCTATACACTACCAAGACTGGACATTACCAGTTTAGAAAAGTCACAGGTCATCAACAGGCACAGGCATCTGACTACTCACACTTTGGCTCATTGCCTGCAACGTGCGGCTCCCTGACTACCTGAATTCCTCTGCAGTGCTTGAGCTGATCTGTGCTTGGATTGATTTCTATGGTCTTGGGGGCTCCATGAACCCTGGGAGACTGTACATCCTTCCACAAGCCTGAGTCGCACCGAGCCCCATACCAAGTGTTCACCCTTCTGTGACACTCTGTTTTGACTCTGTGCTGGGCTGGCTCTCTTAAACTAATCCCAGGAATGACTATAGGTCTCTTTCTGTCCACTTCTAGGGAATCTCTCAGGTTCGTGTTCAGTCTGGGCCTGCTCTCAGCGGGACTTCTCTCTCTGTGGTCTAGTATTGTGATTCCTGTCTGGAGGCTGCAGATTACGGGCATCTGAATGCAATGCCCTCCTGCTATCCACCTCTCTCTTGCTCAGCGGGTCTCCAGGCAATCGCCTTTTCTTTCTGCTGGCAGACTTCCCTCTTTCTTTTTAACTCCTCAGAAGCCAGACCCCTGACAGCAGCTTCCACAGCTTGACTTATCTCCTTTTCTTCGGGGAGAGAGATCTTCTGTTTATCGGCCAATCTATCTGGGAGTGTGGCGAGGGAAAAGAACTGCCCTCTCACTCCTGTCTGAGGCGTCTGACTGGCAGAGTTCTTTTCGCTTGGGAGGGTGGCACTGACGTCCTGGAAGACCACTCTCTCCTTGTCTGCCCCTGGGACTCACACCTCTCCTCTCAGCACAGGTGTCTCCATGAGAGCTTATACTCTGGATCTGGCCCCTCGTACCTCAGACAGTGCTGCTTGTACTTCACACATACTGTACTCCACAGACAAGGTTGTGTTCTTTGGAATATCTGCAGTTAATTTCTTTCTCTACATACTAACCTTCCCAACACTTTGACATAGGCTTATCTTGGTCTCATCTGCCCATAAAACTCTCCTGGATCATCCATGTATTTCTGAGCACATCTAGCACGGCAGAGGTAGGGTCACGGATTGGGCACATATGGTCACCGCTGGAAGTGGCTCATTAATCCTTATTGATTATGGAACTACTGAGTTACAACAGTTTTGACTTTGCTGTCCCAATGTGTTTGGAGGGTGCTACAATGACATTCAGACATTTGAGAGCACTGATAGAACAAAAAAAGAACAGGGAGCCCAGCCCCTCCATGGACTGAAAACCTTGATGTGAAGCCAAAATGAGATATGTGACGGTTCCACTTTAGGCATGGGAACAAGTACCCCATCCTCTCCTTACATGTAATCAATGTGGACTTTGCTGTCCACAACACAAGGTCCTAGACAGCAGAGACAGTCCCTACTGTTGCACAGATTTGTTACAGCGGCAGGACTATGTAATAGGAGCGAGATACATGTCCGGAGCACAGCCTGCAGCCAGAGCAGACAGTGGTGGAGTACAGGGTGCCCAGGCTACACTGTCAGTAGGCATCACCTGGATACAATGATGGGAAGAACCCGGGCCCTCAGGCAAGGGCACTTCACGAAAGGACAAGGCCAATTACCCTGCTGACCCGCTAGGTAAGCTCTCCTGTGTATAATGTATGTGTATAATGGGGGATCATAACATATCTCAGCTCATAGTTAAAAACTAGACTAAATATGACTGATTTCTTAGATGGATACAACTATGATCAAATACTTTAACACTGCAAACAATCTACTTAAAGAGCAGCAGCAGTAGACGTGTCCATCAGTATTCATTCCTTAAGATCAGCAGCGGGGCCTGGTGTTCTCATATTTGAAACATCAAATCACTGTGTAATTGACTAATAAGTCTCCAACACCAGAGCTGATGAACACAGATCAATGGAATAAATGTAGTAGTAAGTGTGTTAAAGTGGTCTGCACTTTTTTTTAAACAAAAAAAGTTTAAGCAAACAAACAAACTTGGTTTTATTAGATTACTTATTCTTTCACTGTGCTACTGATATGTGCCGCTCTTTCTAGTCTGACAAAAATAGCAGACCATTTCACTGTTTTGAAAAAAAAAAGATACAAATTCGGGACTATGCAAAAGGTACTGCACTTCCTGTCCTCTACATAGGAACAGCGACAGTAGTGCCATTCATTTATTTCACTAGTAACACTTACAATGTCAGATTGTTTGCCCTACGCTGAGCATTCTAATGCTACTGTCACCAGTGAAATCTGCTTCACAATTTCTTTACCTATTGTCTGATTTAGTGGCAGGATCGTAAGCATACCTTATTCTGCAAAACATGTGGAGCAAAAAAGGGTTGTTTATACCACAGTAGCAAATTATTCTACTCTGGTCTAAGGCTGGGGGAGATGCAGGATGTCTAATCCTTTGCACTGCAGGGCTCTATTCCTACAAAGTCCTTAATTACTTAAGACACAATCGGAACCAATTAAACAAAGATGTGAAAAGAGCCAAATGGTGACAACACTTAGATCAGTTACAAAGTCATGCAATAAATGAATCAAAACAGCCTTGTGGAGCACTAAGCTGAAATGCAATACTTAGCTACATTTCATATACAAAAATGGGATAGGTATTACGGAACAATTACAGATGCCAAAAAACCCCATCACAAATTAAATGACAAAATGAATCCATTGTGCAGTTTTTCCAGGGCCTGTAAAATACTGGGAACCATTGCTTTTACTGTGCATCATGATATTAGTGCGAGGCAAACACCATGCCACTCCCCTTGAAGTGCAGCCCCATCACTGTAGTCACGTCACACCACCTCTTTAGCCTCCTGTTACACTTTATTTTGTAAGTGTGAATAGCAGCACCACATTCCTTGATGGAAAAGAACACAAACCACAGTTCCAAACTACAGAGATGAAACCAAGTGTTGTTTTACTTGCATTATTACGTTTCTTGCATGGTTTAAGAGCCACTCTGTGAAAGCTGACTCGTCAGAATGAAATCGGAAACTTAATTTAAAGAAACAGTCAAAGAAATCCAAGAGCACAGCTGATGTTGTGCTGTCCATATTTAAGGTAAACACAGCTGATTATGATCAATCTGTTAAACACACTGGAGTTTCTGGATGACTAGCTTCATTCTCAAGGGTTTAGCCCTCATCCCTCAATTACGTTTTAGTCTGCAAAGCAGCTGTTAATCTACATTAATCTTTGTCTGTCTGCCTGGCCCCTGCGTCACTCCTCCCAGCTTGTAGGATACCTGGGAATTAAGAGACACAGTGAGCTTTTGGAGAGACCCTTGGCCCAGGCACTGCTAGATGCACTGTACCTACTGTAGGTGAACCGTACAGATACATTATAAATCATGGCAGTGCAGGTGCATTAACCCCAGTGTCCTAGGTAAATTCCACTTTGCACTTGAATAATACAGCCTGTCTAAATTTCCCCCTTAATTCAGCTGGTGTAGTAATTGCTCACTTATTTATCTGATCTACTGTTGTGGTAGGAATGGGATCTACCTTTCATTATAAGCATTTCACTGCACTTATGCATATGACAAACACACTGAAGTGAACTGGTGGGGCTGAACGGCTGCCATGTGTCACTCAGGTTGGGGGGGTTACACTTCACTGGTGGACGAAGTGTGCGCCCCGCTATGTGCAAAAGCCTGCAGGATGAAATGAAAAGGGCTGTACGTGTGGAAGTGTCCCAGCATGCCACTTGTGTGCACCTTGATATATGCACCTGCCCAAGGATATGGTAAAAACGCTCTCCCATCCATCCAGGACTTTTATGACAGATGGTGCTTGAGGAAAGCTCTAAGCATCATCAAAGACCCCACACACCCCAGCTACAGACTGTCTGACACTCTACGATCTGGAAAACGGTACTGGAGCATTCGGGCCCGGACTTCCAGACTCAGAGACAGTTTATACCCCCGCACTATCCAGCTATTAAACCCCCAGCCCCTCTCACCTATGCTCTGAACCTCACAGTGCCTTCTTTCTTACCAAAGACTCAAACACACATTGAAATCTACCTCTACCTCACATGTCAAGAAGCTCACTCCCCATCATTTTCTATCCTTTATTTCATTCTGTTGATGAATGATTTTGCACAACTGACGTTGTTTTGCACATTACCTGTTACCCGTTGTTTTTTTGCACATTGCCTGTTGTCTATGTCTTTCTTTTCTTATACAGTTGTATTGTTGTTGATTTTTTTGTACTTCTTACCATCTGAGAGCTAGCTAAATAGCATTTCCTTATACCATAAACCTGTATATGGGTATAATGACAATAAACTAGAACTTGAAAATGAAACGCACTCACTGGCCTGTATTAAATTTTGTTTTTCTCTCCTGTTAAACATTTGAAACATGTCCAAACTCAAACTGCACGTAGAGTTAGGTTCCCTCACCTTTATGGTGCAGAGCCCTCAATTCCCACAGCTGAGTCACACATGACATGCTATGTGCAATTACAGTTTAAATAGCACTGAAATCATACAGCATTTTAAAAGAACAGGCATGAGAAAAGTTATATGGATACATGTCTGAAGTTCAAGATTAATTGTTTTGTTTTTCCTGTGTTATTCAGACTCTAAATTATAAAACCTCAAATGGAACAAGTTGCTGTGCAAAGGGGTTCTTTTTACCCTGCACATTGCTAAAGGATAGTGACATTTCACACAGAAGCTGGTTAACAGTTTATATGATACATATGTAAACATACATATTGATGTTTGTGAATATGAAACCTGAAAACATTGATTGTTTGAAATTAAAATAAAAAATATTTACTTTCAGTCAATGGTCATGAAAACATGGACATGGTAAAACAGATTCTATTTCTTGGTACCTTTTTAAATGTTCTTAATTAAATCAAATTGATTCAATTAAATTATAGTTAATGTGCAACATCAAGCATGTTTTGTTACCTGGACTTCAGGTAACAGTTATAATCTGCTTTCCCATGAGATACATTTACAGCATATACAGCCTTTTACTCTTTGTTGCTGGGATGTTAATTACAATTCAGCATTATGATAAAGAAATGTCATTTCATTCGATTCATTCTATCACTCCACAGTTTGACTACACAATTTCAGATTGGTCATGCATTGACATGAGCAGAAAGAAATCTCAACTCTTTCAGTGAATCGTCAATATCACTGTGTATCTATGACAATGCAATCATAGCCACTGTTTTTAAATCGAGCGTTTCTCCACAATGTGGAGAGAGGAATTTTGCATGTTGTATTAATCCCAGCAGCAGCTGGATGGAGATCTCTGCAGCACTAAGACATCTACTGGCTGGTGGGAATACTGCAGGTTTTGTGTCTTCAGTGTGCGCTGTGCAGGTCTGGTGGCTTACACAGGAGTGCTACAGGGATGCTGAAGAATTTCAATCTGTGCAAACCATTCACACCTTTGTTTTCCAATAAAATCATATTTATGATTTCTCAAGGGTTCGGAGATATTTGGTGGATACGTGTGCTTAGAAAATAGGTTAAAACCACAGAATATATTAACATTAACAAGATTCTCCCACCTTCAAGACTGGGGTTTTATTAATTGGAAAAAATGGACATTTGGAGCTACATCCAAGACAAAATGGTGTATTATGCATGCTAAATACCAACTGTTCAAGGACTAATATTGGAGCATTAATTAGTTTTATATGAGCTTATGCAAATCTGTACTTTTGAATGAGCACATCAACCATGGAACAGAGAACAACCCACAATCCTATCCTTCCTAACAATGTCTCTGCAATAAACAGATACTGGACAAAACAGGCACAAAATCCTTAAAGATGTTGGATCGGACTCTCAGTTGGTAGAGGTTCTTAACAATATACAAAATACATTTCTTAAAAAAAGGAAAATGATCTGTTTTGGCAAATTGACCATGAACCAAAAAAAGAGAAGATTCTAGATTGCAGTGCTAAATTTACTCAGGATTTGTTGCTATATTACTGTGTTTGATACACAGTGCCCAGCTGGGCTTCTTACTGACTTGTGATGACATTCATTTTGTTTTTCTGCACAGTCTGTTTGTGCACAGCTTACTGAGGTTATAACAGGAAAGCAATAAGAACTGGTATATTTGGAATGTCAGATGTCACACAAGGAAAAACCCATGAGCCACTTTTCCTTCACATGTTAAACAATGGCTTAGACATCAAGTGAAATTTACACTGATGAAAAGCTTGTGTGGCCTATTTAGAGGTAGGGCATACAGGTGTTCTAGTAATACACCTTTGCCATTTTGGGTTTCACAAGTTTCAAGCTTGTTAGGTACTGACTTTTTCTTGATTATTTTAATTTAAACAAATCACAATAAAGCACAGCTTAAAAAACAACAACAGAAAAAGAAGCTGTTCTCTCTATTTGGTATAATCTGAAATGGAACTGAAGACTTGAAGACTTGAACCTGATTATACTGTAATGTAACGGGAGTCTTCCATATCCCGGTATAGCAGAATTTTAAGTGTATTGCTTTATTTGTAACACTGTAGTCTTTACACAGCCTATCCAACAACTAACAACATCTCTTGTACAACTGGAGCAAAGGATATAAGATGTGAAGCAAGCCTACCTTCTGAAACGTAGACAAAGGGCTTGTTCTTCACGGAGAGCATGGTCAACAAATTAAAGAAGAGGGCCACAAATGTTCCTACCAGGAGACGCCCCCTAAAGACACACAAGGAACTTGAGATTCACAGTCCTAGGTGTGTTCTGCTCATTCATATGAAGTAGATGTATTTCTAATTCTAAATCAGCAGAAAAAAAGCTATTGAACTAATAATAACAACAACAATAATAATAAAAAAACATATTTTGTACATAAATTAGCACATTTCCTTAAGGAGAACTTCAATGTGCTTCACATAAAAGAAAAGGCTAAAAGAGAAGTCAAGGAACTTAACAATAACTATGAAGGAAAAAGATAGGGAATTAGTTAATAGTTCTGGAAGTTGATGGGCTTGTTGGTAGAGAAGGGTTTTACCCACAGTTCAGCTTGGTTCTGGGATGAAAAATCAAAGCTGGGGACAGATGAAATCTATCCATCTGTGTTTTGGGTTGATTTAAAATGGCTAACTGACACTTTACGCTGTATTTGCAAGTTAAACAGTTGCACATAGAGAGCACTTATGAGGGAATTGTAATACTTTTCTGATGGAGTCCAGTGACTATGTTAGTTTTGAACATTTTTTAGACAGTATCCTGCAACAAATGTGGACTTTAATTGCTAAAGGTATGCACAGAAAATTTAAATATAATTAAAATATGATGTTTAAATGATGCTTCTATGTCCACATAATAGGTGTTACAAAACATCTTCACAAAGCTACTAAAAACTTGAAAACCCCACCGTTCACTGTTTAAGTATCATTTAAATATATGAAAGAAAATGTGAGGTCAATCAGGACATATGGACTGGTGAAAAGTGACCAGTGTCCCCTTCCAGCACTGATCAGACTGGCATGATTCAGATAACATTCTGCTACTGATGTTTATCGGAGATGGAGCTGAAATGGACTTCATGGAAAATCAATATAAAGTACGCACTGTATACATTTCAATCAAGTATCAAAATAGATGAGAACAGAAAAAATATTTTAATAGGTTCACTTATCACTGGACTAAGGACTATAGGCCCTCACACTGACAAACAAGAAGGCCGATTAAAACAACTTAAAATAAAAGAAAAAAAAACAAACTCATTCAATCCAAAATTCTAAACTAATCCTTTTAGAACATGCCATCATATCAATGGAGATAAGTCAGTTGTTGCTCTTTCAAGAGAAGGGTGCTAAACACTTCCAGAATCTTCATCATGGTGCGATGCCTGAGTAAAATTCTCCCTCTGTACATTGTACATTAGGATCTAGCAGTTGGCATAAATGGCTATAATATTCTTCCTTGTATACTCAGATAGTTTATAAGCTCCCAGTGGTGACAGTTAAGAAAAGCACTTTTTTTTAAAAAGAAAAGCCCCCTTTAAATTTATCCTTTGTTATACCAGAACCAATAACCTTTGTTTCATAATGATAATCTGTGGCAAACAATAACAAGAACGTGTAAGTTATTAGCTGAAATCCTGTTTAAAGAGTTTACAGGGAGGTAGGGGGTTCAAATCACCCCATGTTAAATTGAGGAGTGATGGCAGATGTCAATACAGTTCGAATCTTTTTTTAAATTTTCCTCAACCTCTGATAATAGGCTGCATTGAATAAATCTAGTTGCTGCAATTTCTAGAGAGAATTAGTGTTCAAATTCATTTTAAGATAATTTAGCATTCAATCAGCAGCTGCTACCAAACAATGTGAAACTATATTCTACTCTACGCATATGACAACTGTACAAACTTATGGTTGGCAAACATACACTATGGCACTTAAAGTTATTATGATTTCTGCACAAAAGCTGAATATGTTAATTTCATACTTACGTGTGGATCTCAGGCTGCTTCATGAAACGTTCCACACTGAAAAACACAAGTAAGTGCACAATGTCTTTGTTGGAAAAGTGTAAAAATGCATACTTCTTAAACCTTACAGAAAGACTGGTTTTGTGGTACATTATAGTGATTTTATAGATGAGTTAGATGGGTAGGACTCCCTGCTGCCTCAGATGAGCAGCCCTGGGTGCCAGAAGAGGTGGCAGAAGGCCCCAGCCACTGGCCTCTTGCGGCAGAATAGGTGAGCTGTGAGCTGTGCCGGACTTTCCAGTACACAAGTAAACCCTTATCTGATTCCATCCTATATTTTACAAACTGAAAAGTTGGAATTCTTTTACTAAAAAAAATGAAACATTCATTATAAACGGCATAGGACATTAAATTCCTCTTGTACTTCACTCTACAAGCCTTTCCGAGTCACTGCTGGTGAAAACAGGTGGGCCCTATTGTACTCCCAATGCGACAGTCCTGTGAGTGAACCAGCTGGGCTTTCGTTTATGACAACAAATGAGAAATTGGATGTTTACTGTTAATTAGAATAGACGCTCTGGCAATCAGCCCCCTGACTTCAAAGCTGTGATTTGTTTGGCAGCCTTCAAAAGTGGATACTGGATACTAATATTCTAACAATGACCACTGTTCACGTTTCTTCTCCGCTCAGGTCCAGTTCTTGTCTTTGTTGGATGGGAGTTTTCTCTGTGCCCCTCATGCCCCATCTCTGCCTCTCACGTGTGCTGGACCTCACTGAGAAGCAGCGTGAAGTTCACACACACAGTCTCCCCCTTGCTGTGAGTTGACCGATGAGTAAACTTGTTTGCTTTCCCTAAATTCCACCTCCGTGCACTGGACATTGACAGTTTTCCCACAGCTATGAAATATTGATTAAATTCAGTCTGGGAATCACTTTTTAAGAATGTCAATCACAGATAGGGGGCAAAAAGGGGAAAAAAAAAAGATGAAAAAAAGTACAGGCATTTTTACCTTTCCTTTAAGATGAAAAGAGCCCCAAGTTGCGCCAGGACAGTGGAGGCAAACACAGCCAGCACTTCAAACCTCTCGAACCTGGAACATAAAACATTGCCAGAAAAACAACTCTGAGTTTTGTCCCATTTCTTGAATGACTGACTGACACATCTTCGGCTTTACAAGGGTACCACATGATAAACAGGGTAAAGTAAAGTGGTGAAGGGTATTAAGGACACAGTGAAATCATGGGAACCACATTATATTGCAGAGAGCGAATTGGCAGAGCCATTAGGAAACTACAGTAAATTAATGGAGCAAGACAAAGCCCTAGGAAAGCTATAAAAATGCCAAAAAAAAAAACGATCACACCTTCACCAGAGACAAAAAGTGGGAAAAAGATAAGAAAGGGTTTTACTGCAAGGAAGATTTCGGAGGGAGGATATTCACAAACATCTGAAGCGATTCTGCTTCAGGATGTGCAGTAAAGCCTGTGTAGAGCCTCAGCTGCCTCAGCGATCAGTTACATATGATTCTAAAGTATCCTTGATTTTCCTGGAATCTACTACTGGGCTCACAAGTGATATTCCAGAGAGAATGTACAGGATTTTATTAATAAGCAGAACACAAGAAACCGAAAACAAAGAAATGCAAGAGCCACCCAGATGAAATGCCATCTATTAAACTTCTTCATCTATTAATTTTATCTGGTACAAAAAACACAACCACTTCATTATTAACAAGGTTAACTAAAGAGAAATATACTGAAATCGCAGAAACCCCAAACACAGAATGGTTCAACAAAAATAAGGCTATAAACAGCAAACCAATCTAAAAATACAATAGTAGTTTTAAAGGACCTAGAAAATCATATGAATACATGTGAGTTATGTGCATCTTCAATAATACAACATATTGAAACTCGATATTGAAGGGATGATCAATAGTGACATTGAGGTAACATAACACAGACCATAATGTATATTAATCTGCATTAACAGCAAAGTTCACTACTCTCACCTCACTTGCTTTCCCCAGGCAAGAACTCATTAGGCAACACAGAATACCAAATGTGCACTGTGCTCCAAAATTCAGCCTGCAACCTGTAACGAGTACAGGACTAGATGTTATAGCGTTATAGCTCACTGCATTTTTATTGCATAATTTAGCTACTATTTGAGTCTCCAAAAGAGTCCTTAGCCTGCGAAAGGACAACTGCATGGGAACATTTTTGAATGGCATTGAATGACATTTTTTTGGCCAGTTTTGAAAATAACTACACTGGCATATTTATAGAGGACTAAGATGTGTCCCACACAGCATACAGAAAAAAACGCTATTGCCAGAACTTCCTTGAACACTAGCAGTGTTTCAAAACCACTGTGTGTGAAAATGGTAGCACTGTAGAGGTGATAAGGATTTCAATATTCACACCTGAACAGATAAGCTGTGTTTGTTTATATTCCACTGAGGGTCCTATGTCTTACTAGACTAAGACTGTGCTGGGCTCACAAGCCAACACTGGATTAATTACAAAAAGACTCAATTTAACAAGAAGGAAAGATTGTGGATATTTAAGATTTTCACTACTACATTCGTAGGCTGAAATATTAGAAATGCCTCCAAACCAAATGATTTGCTGGTTTCTGCAAGTGGCAAGAAGAGTTTAAGCAGGATGTGAAATGTATTCCCGAAACTCGGATGTTTCTACATCCCAATTCTATTTCAGTCTTCCAGCAAAATACTCTTAAGATGAGCCTGTGATGGTATAAAGGACTGAATGCATTACTCTGTCTCTTGATGTTAACCGGACACTGTTTGAAATGAAAAGTGCCCACAGAGTTGACTGGAAGGTCCTAAGGTGATGGTGCATCTCTACCAGTCAGCAAATTCGATTTTTCACTCATATAAAGTATGCTTGTTGCATTTTTGAAACTCAGAGAATCTCACTACAGAAAACAGGAGGCAACATTTCATGGGGACAATGGGGAAGAAATCTCTGTGTACAACAAAAACAAAAGACACACTAACGTCGCCTAAACACTAAATGCAGCTCTGGGGAGATCACACTATGCTGGATATCGGACTATCAGATTTGTTGCCAAGCGGACACATCTTTTAACTTCCCATACAAAAATCAGTGTGTGTGGTTTAACCCCTTCTAAGCACAGCCTGGTTTTACTAACAGCATAGACACTTTAAATGAGAAAGTCAGAGCCATCTAAAATCCCACCATACCAGTATTAACAAAACTAACAAATATTAACAATATTTTATTAATATATTATAAAAAATAAATTTAATTTATTTATATTAATATTATCAAACATTACACGCAGACCTGATGATGCTCCTTCACCATCTACATCATGTCTATTGCAGTACAGCAAGTGGAACGAAAGATGACATTCTCACTCTTAAAACCATTTACACTTAAAACCTAAAACCATTTACACTTAAAACCTGACGGGCCCTTTTAATTGAAACAAAACCTTGCCAGATCTGTGGAGAAAATGATGATTCCTTACTCAAATCATTTATTTCTGTCTTTTTAACATTGTGTGTTCTCGGGTATTAGCTCAGGCGCTTGTTCTGCTTCTGCTTTAGTTTCCTCAAGAATGACCGTTTCTTGTTTTTGTTTGAACGTGACTTTTCAGTCATTGAATCTTTTCCCCATTAGTGTGCAAATGAACACAGGGATGACTATATTCAAGGTGTTTCACAGCTGGAGATTTAAAAATATCACTTTGGTTAAAGGAGGGAGGTATTGGTTTAATCAAATTAACCCTATATTTAGCCCAGTTCACTGTAATCCTATGGACAGGAATGTCTACTGATGCCTGTTTCACAATGTGCAGCTGAATGGTGAACTCCATGGGGAGTGAACATGTCCCTAAAAGAAACCAGAAATCAGATGGTTAAGTCCTGTATTTTGTTAAAAAAAAAAACCTCAGCTGGGATGATCCTGCATGTGAAAGTGGATAATCAGAAAGGGCAGGTGCCACTGTGCCCCTGCTGTGCACGCTGGGGCGGACTGAGGCACAAACACTACCCAACACTGTAAGGTCACGAATGCCATGAGAAACACTGAGCAGCTCTCTTCCCGAAAATCCTCTTTTCCGTTAAGGTTCGCTGGACTCGCTTCAAGAGAGTCTGGAATTGTTGGGGAGAACGCAGAAAGGACTGGGGGTTATCTGGAGGAGCGTTACCCAGTGTCACCCCAGTCCAGACACCCTGCTATGGCTGTCCCGATCATTACAGGGGAACCAGAGAAAATAAACCCGTCAGAGTGATTTTTTGGACACGTGTGTGGTCGTCACTGATTCCTATAAAATACTGAGTATAGAGGCGGCCCCTGTGCTAGAAAATAAACCTGGCAACCAAAGCACACTGCAAATGACGCGTCTCTGACGTTAATTACTTTAGAATAACATACCTAGGTATTTAAATCAGAGTCCCAGTAAATATTTTTTTCCATTTATAACCTTGATGGGTTCGTCTTGTAGTGTGGCAGAGCAATTCTACTTATTCAGGAATACCGACTGAAAGTTGTATCCTTTTTATAATAATAAATGAATAGAATAATAGAATAACTGTATTTATGGCACTAGATATCAGAATTTTGATTTACTCCTTTTTCTGATTGCTGGCCTCAAAGATATTTTTACTTTTGAAGTAAAAAACATTCATAAAAAGAATAATAAATAATGAATACATATAATAAAAATAATACATAATTTAATTCATTGCTCTTTACTGAATTGGTATGCTTTACTGAGTGGTATGTCATTTTTTTAACATATTTAACTTAATACAAGTCTCCTTCAGGAAAAGCTTTTACAAAGGAGTTGTTTTTCTCCCCATACATCTCCTAAAAGGAGACCATTTCTCGCAGGAGCTGACCCAGCCACCCAGCAGCTCCACAGTAATATACACCTCCACTGGCTGGTAAAGTCTGCTAGTTCAATCAGTGCGAAATATGGATTTTTTTTTGCACATCAGCGTAGGCTCAACCTACATCTGGTCAAACTGATTGTGAAAGGTTAAAGAAGCGTTTTGGCCAATGTGTGACCTCCAAAATTCACGATAACTCACCCAAAAGTGTAGACAGGGCTGGGTTTCTTCATCATCACCCAGGAGCTAACCAGGCAAGTAATTAAGCTGCAAGGAGACCAATGAAAAACCAACATCAAAAGCCGGAAAAAAATAATAGTATAGGAAACGCACATAGATATGTAACGGCTTCAGTTCGTGAATTTTTAGGATTCTGTTTCAGTAAATTAGGTAATGATCGCACATATTGATGTTTCGGTTAATGCTCAGTATGTTAATATTAAACTTAAACCTTACCTGAACATATCAAAGATGGTAAGGTAGCTGTAAGCGGTTAAGGCTGAAACAAAAAGAGAGAAACAACTATTGGAGCAGATGCAGTATACATGTGGACACTCACGTTCCATACTGTGAGGCCCAATAACTGAAGTAAAAGTAAAAATCATGAATCTCATGCAGGGAGAAAATGAAAAACGCAACACTAAGCTACCTGTTGTTTTTAAGCACACTGCTTCTGAACAAGCATCACAGAACTTTCATGAACAGTGCAAAACACATTAAGCTGCAGTTCTGTTCAATACATTACTACTTTTGTGACTTAAGCAGAAAGAATCCTAGACCATTCCTGTTCTTAATACAACAAATTGCACTGGAGACTGAGAGCTCAGTAAAGCAGAGCCCTTGACAGATAGGATGTTCTTATATCAATGACCTGGACTATGGAATAATAAACCTTAACTAATCCATTTTATACATGACATTAAAATAGGAGGATTAGGAAACAAGGAAGCAATTATTTCTCACAGTGCCTTTTAAACACTCACTAAAAACAGTTTGTTCAAAAACTACGGTATATTGTCACTTTAAGAACCCAATGACGGAAGAGAATGACACTTCAACATGATTGTGTACACAAACATGGTTGCTAAAGTGTAAGGATTTGGCTTGCAAATCAACATCAGCATACTCAAATAACTAATAGTAGGCACAGCAATCAGGTATTGGATAAATCCATTTATCGTTTGTGTACTAAACGAACAGTTTACAGTGCAAAGCATATTCATAATTATACATGCAATAGATTAGCAAAATAAATTATACTAGAAATTAACCATAAATTAAATTAAACATTAAGGAATCTGTAGCTCACAAATTCATAATGTGAGAAAAATAACTTTTACTGTAATATTTCTATCTATTCTACTTCTTTACTGGTAATGTATAATGAAACTCATCAAGAATTGACCTTAAAAGAGTATCTGGCGCTTTATAAACTCCTGTAACATGCAAAGTAAATGCTGGCATTTTATTGCATCGCATTACAGAAACTGACCACTTGTATTCATAACACACTGGATTTTGAGTATAATAAGCCCTGTAAGTACTGCTGGATAAAGGGATCCGCTAAACAGAAAAACATCATTACAATAATAATTCTAAAATCAATGGGAGAGGGCATTCACAGCCTCCAATTGTAAAGTTAAACATCATAAATAATTCTTCCAACCCTAATGTGATTGCTATTTCCCCATATCGCAAGACTATTTTAAATATTAGTCACTGTGCTGTGCTGCTGCCAAATATTCTGATTAATTGGGCAGTGGAATTTTAAAGGGGAGTTAAGACGATTGCTGCATATGAAATCCACCTCTGCAACACAGGTCCCAGTAGGAATGGTACAGGGTGTACCAATTTGCAAAACATGAGTGACTACTTTATCTGCTTTGTCAGGACAAGGGTTGATTCGGGGAAAAAAAGCTCATGGACAAAATGCAATACTGGCGACTAAGCAAAGCCTGCAAGAACCACTTCAATTCCTTCTGGACTGAAAGAAAAGAAACAAAAAATACAAAGTAGAAATAATGTACAAAAGCAGCTCACAGCAATGTCTCATAAGAACTACGTACAGCACGTACAGCATTAATGTCACATTTGAACTGTAATCAAAACATTAGTCCTGAGGCAATCGGCCTTCACTGCATAATGCTTTTTTGAAACAAAGTATATTTTGTCCACAAGGGAGATTGGAAAAGATCCTTGATTAGGATTTAGAAGGATTCGGACAGATTATGAAATGCAGAAAAAAAAAACATACTCATAATGAAAAAAAAATACAGCAGTTAATATCTTTAGTATCCACGGGAATGGAGTTAAGCTAAAACTTACATAAACAACACAAAGAGATCTGAGGGGATTTAGATAGAAATGGTGTTAAGAACATTTACAGTAGGTGCAATGTACAGACCGCCCCCTCCCCCCAGACCTTCCCCGATACTTCAGATACTCTGACGGTCCTTAGAAAAATCCTGCACATTTTCAGTGCCTTTGAGGATTATGAATGTTCTTATTAGAAGACTACAAGCAGACCTGATGAAGAGTATTCAAAATCCTCGAAGGCACTGATCAAGTCAACCCAGCAGGTTTCTTCGAAATGAAGTGAAACAAAAACCAAAGGATACAAGTGGAATCTACAAGGAAATTCATTTAAGGCCAAGAAGTGGAGGCACTTCTTTACCCAAAGGGTTGTGGGAGTGTGGAACAAGCAACCTCGCCACATTGGTAAAAGCTGACACTTGATTTCTTTCAAGTAATAAGACCCTGGGATCAATCAGCATCTAACTACCACATGGGCCGTTCTTAAAGGCGAATTCGCAGTCCCAGTTTCTCAGACTAGTTATTAAATCTCTGTTACAAAATGTATTAATTGATGTTATAGAAACTCTTTTAAAAATTTCTAAATAAGCACAAAATCATGAACTGTGTGAAACAAAAGTCTCCATGTTGTTGCAAACTCACACTTGAGTTCTCACCAATTGCGACGAGAAGCAGCCCTTCCTGCTCACTAGTCTCTGTAATGACTAATTGTGATGTACGAGCAAATAAGTACAGGTTGTGCAGCAGACATTTCACCGCAGAAATGTTCCAACGTGATCTGCATGCAGAGTTAACAAGTAAATAGCATTTGTTCAGAAAAAAAAACCCCACAGAATTGTGAGCAATTTTTCTATTGGATTAAAAGAGATGTATTCACAAGCCTGTTTGTTTACAATGTAATAAGGCCGCATCATGCCATGTCGCTAGAAGTTTTGTTGCCTCGTTCTGAATCACAGATATAAGTACAGATTTAATGGCGCTATGCATACCAGGAAATTGTGTCTATTTTGTGATGTAAATTGGAGGTTTTACTGTGTACATTTTACTTTTATTGTGGTTTGAAATGCACTCATCAATGCTGATTCTTTCTAATCCCGAAATACAAAAAATAGCACTGCAGTTCCCCTTTAATCACAGGCTAACTAAATTCAGTTTTATATAGGTTTCAAATCTTAAATCTCTAAATAGGATTCTGGAGTAGTATTAACTCATAATGGGTGTGGCTGATACAGGGTCATTCCCCACTCAGTACCTCTGATCATGCATCGATCACATCTTTTTAAGAGAAATAACAGCAAGCAGGTTGAGAAGATTCAGACTCAAAATTCAGTATGTTAAAGCTGTGAGGTATGGCATTCTGGAAATCACAGGAGTGAGTGTTTAACAAGTTAACCAGAGGTCTAAACCAAATTTAAATCAATTAAAATAGTCAATTAGCACTCAAGACTGGAAGCTCAGTTTGCACAAAAACCAGCAAGCACAGTGCTCCCCAGGACTGGGGCTGAGAAATCCTGCCTTACACATTATCATGAGAAATAAAAAGCCTGTGACAACATGTAAGTACAGGTTTTATGAACTGTAGGAACATGTATAATTTAAACATCCAAAGCAGAATATTATGTATGACTTCTTCAGCTTTGAACGCCATATGCGATAACCTTCACATTCACCTGTAACTTGCTCAAAGTGATTACGACATGCTGCTGTGTCACATCAGAGCCAGGTGATCCACTTCTGTGACCAAGAGATTGCATTCTCCTGGTTTTGTTCATATTAAGGGAAGCTCTGGGCTAATTACTGCTGTTGACTGCTACTCCTTACTAGCAAGAAAAGGTGCCCAAAAATGTCCTGTAACTTGGATATGTAGTGAGGCAGACCTTGGAATACCTCCTGGTATCACTGGCACTGACCTTCAACTCAGCGCTAAGTGGTCTCGTCTGAGAGTCGACTACTGAGACTATTGACCAACCAATCCTCCTACCCTGCCAGGAGGAATCCAATGGTGCAGCCATAGCAAAACACAATAAGATTCTTTCCTCTTTAGGGTCTCAACCAGATACAGATGCCTTTTTGCAAAGCATTAGTCTGTGTAAAATGCCAATAACATACATCCTCATATACGAGGAACTCAAAACATCTGGTTGCTTTTGAATGAAAACTAAACATGTAATGATTTTCCTATTTGTTTAAGAAATGAAAACACCCAATGGCATTTAATCTGACTCAGCACTAAAGTCCTGCAAGAAACAAGCACATTCTCCATGACGAGGCACTGCCCACTACGAAGAGAGCCTGAGGCAGACACAGGACATGCTGGAGGGACTGTCTCTCTCAGATGGCCCGGAAGCCCCTGGGAGACCCCAGGAGGAGCTGGAGACTGTTGCTGGGGAAAGAGAGTCTGGTCTGCCCTGCTCAGCCTCTTACCACCCCGACCCTCACCAGGAGTGAGTGTTTAGAAGAGCAAACACAGGGCCTGATGTCAGAGCCTAAGCAATCAAAAGCAAAGCCACCTTTTTCAGGTACGCCTGTGGAGTCCTGTGGCCAGTCCACCAGACGTGGTCTACAAGTAAACTAAACCAGGACTTGAGCTGCCATTGTCTCATCCTGCCCTCCTGTACAGATGCTTTTATCAAAGTCAAGGCAGGAGCTCTGCACAGTAACTAAGTGATGAGCTGTTGTAATATGCTGAGACCCTAGCGATCTGAGTCACATTGACATATACATTAAAAGTAAACCAGAAGGAAACACTGAAAGATCCCTTACTTTGATACCTACCTAATACATGTTGATAGTCTTTCATACAGTTTTGCCTCTAAATGCAATTTGTAGGAATTAAAAGAATTACAAACGGATTATTCAAGAGTGATTTTTTGTCACGCACCGCTATGACAAGTTTAATCAATCCAGTTGATTAGGATAAATAAAGGGTTACTGCTTGAAGCATATTCTCCTGCTCACTAAAAGGGTGTAAACTTCATGAGATGGGTCACAGTATATCGTACCTTTAAAAGGTTTTTCTAAACCAATTCAGACAAAAAACAATGATCTAGTTCTACAAATACAATTTATTGCCATCACAAATGTCATTATTTTCTAATAATTTTTCCCCTTGCACATGCCAGAAAAAAATCTTGAACTCTTCTTCTCAAACCTAAGGAGCTTATTTCATTTGAATGCTTTATTTTG